TTTTGAGGCAGGGTCTCCCTTTGTAGCTCAGGCTGGCCCTGAACTCACTGTGCAGCCCGGGACAGCCTCAAACTTGCAGCAATCCTCCTGCCTCAGCCTCCCCAGTGCTGGGATTACAGGTGTGCACCACCATGCCTGGCACTGAAAGGTAAACTTCTGGACTGATTTAGGACATCCGGGCAGCTATGTATGACACACAACTAAAGACATGAAACAGGACTTCCAGAGCTCCTTCAGAAAGTAGCAAAACACTGGGACAAAGTGTGCTCAAAACCTGGGGAGTACTTTTTTTTTAGAGGTATTGATGCCAATGTGTCTTTTACTATAATAATTTGTGTGTTTGTTTGTTTTGGTACTGGGGATTGAGCTCGGGATCTTGCACTTGTAAGGCAGGCAGTGACACCACTGAACTAAATCCCCGGCCTCTTTCACTGTAATAAATTGAGTTTAAAATTCACCATATTTTTCATTCCTATCCCAAGGGTGAAGTTCGGGGGTTTAGTCACACACCCAGCAAGACAGTCTTCCCAAAGGCCTCAAGAGGAGGAGCAGGAAGCCTGCAGGTGGGAGGTGGGCGTGGTTCGGGCCCTACCCTGCTGGCGAGTGGCTCACCTGCAGCTCCTCCTCCAGGCCCTTAATTTGATGGTTGTTCAGCTGCAATACGTGGGACTTGAAGCCACTTCGGCCCATGGAGCTGAGGGTCACATTGAGCACCTTGTCCTCCACGGTGTGGGCAGCGATCCAGTACGCAGACAGAGCATCCAGGGCCATCACCGTGTCCTGAGGAGGCCAGGCCAGGCCTCAGGCCCTGGTTCTCAGGACCGGCCACCCCCCAGCCCCAGATGCCCCTCACCTGTGTGCTACGGAAGGCCCCCTGAAAGCTCCCCTGATGAGTGAGCCAGTTTGCAGCCTGCTCGGCCAGCTCCGCCTTGCCCTCCCGGAGCAGCAGGTGCAGCAGGCCATAGGCTGTGGTCTCGATCCACAGGGCTGGGGCCTGGGGCACAGGGTCTGTTGGGCTGAGAGGACCCGGGGTGGGCGAAACAACATTGCTCTGAGAGGTGGTGACCAAGCCCCAGTAGAGTTTATCTGGAAGGAAAACAGCAGGTGAACGGGTGGGGGATCCCAGTATCTGACCCTGGGAAGTGCCCATCAGGCTTCCTGACTCAACCCCAAATCCTCCCCTCCCATCGCTCCATTCTCTCCCCCAGGGCAGTCTGGGGACCCCAAGGTCCCCGAGCTCCAGGCTTACTGTGCAGACCCCCTTATCCCTCACCACCAATCTCCTGGGCCATGACCATGAGGTTGTTGTGAGCAACTTCCTGCAAGTCCTGGGAGGCCTTGGTCAGCGTCAGGGCGTAGGCCGTGATGGCGGCTGCGTGGGCTCCGAGGAGCCCAGCACTTGCTTTACTTCCCAAGAAGGAGTTGGCCTTTGAGATGGAGGCTTCCTAGAAGACGGGAGATGGTCTGGGGCTGCTGTGTCCCTGAGGAACCAGGGGAGCGCTGGGGACCAGGGAAGGACACATGTGCACATCCTCACCACGCTCTGCTTCAGCGCCTCTGCACCCGGGTCTGGGAAGGCAGCCAGCCCATGCTGAAGGGCGATGACCACGAAGGCGGTGAGGGCCACTGTCTCGTCGCTTCCCACCAAGCCCCCCTGGTGAGGGGACAGGAGGCGTCAGCCGGCAGGGCGGGGGCGCAGTCTTCTCACCACGGCCCACACCCGGTGCCCCGCGCCCACACACACCTGCATGCCTCTGTGCAAAACCGGACAGGGGTCATGGAACGAGCCGTCCTCCAGCTGCTGGCCTAGCAGCCATGCTGCTGTCTCCTGCAGCTTCTCCAGTGAGCCGCCCACCTGCTCCTGGGCCAGACTCAGAACCTTCAGCACGAAGGCTGTGAGCCTAGAGGGCAGAGAGGCACGGCTGGGGCCAGGAGCAGACACAGCCCCATCTCCAGCCACCTGGTTACTCATCCTACTGGGGCCCTGAGCCATCAGACACCTGAAGCCACTGCCCCACCTCACCAGGTGCTGCTGTCCCGGGTTAACCAGGCCGCATAGGAGCCGTCCTTCTTCCGGTACTGCTGGATGCGCATGTAGCCTGGGGAGGAGGAGGCAGTGCTGAGCTCTCCCGTCTCCCATGGGCGGCGCTCCCCACCCCCGTGCCGGCCCTGCACCGGAACCTTTTTGGATCAGATCCACAGCCCGGTCCTTGGTCTCGGGGGGCAGTTTGCTCCACTGCTCCGTCCTGTCCAGGTAGCGCGAGGCGGCCAGTGTCGGAGCCAAGAGGGTCATGGTTTGTTCCCCGCAGCCCTGAGGAAGCTGCAGGCGAGAGGCTATGCCCCCAGGGGACAAGGCCCCCTCGGAGCCCAGGGTGTCCAGGGGATTTGAGGCTGCAGAGGGCGAGAGAGCAGAGGTTGAGAAGAGGCCTCGAGAGCCCAGGGTCAGAGGAGCCAAGCAAGGAGCACGCGCCCACCTGTGACCCTGACGAAGCTGCTCGAGTCTCCATCGGGGATCATGTTAGGGTCAGAGCTGCCAGGAATCTCCAAAGTCCGGGCCCGGTGGTCTGCGGACACGGAGGCGTTGGCAGCCCGCCCCTCAGTGCCCCGGGTGGGGAGCCGAGAGCCAGAGGCACTCACCCAGGGGGTTGAGCTCATAGATGAGTTCCTCCTTGTGAATGGCCCCTTCCTTCTGCCTCGGGAAACACGAACCAGTAGTGAGAAGCAGCAGCACCCAGCCCGACCCACCCGCAGACTCCCTGAGGACTGAGCTGCGCTGCACCGACAGTCGGGTCTTGACTTGGGTCTGAGCATGGGGCCCTGGCTTGGCCAGCAGCGTGCTGAGGACGGGAAAGACCTGGGCCTGGGGACCAGGAGCAGCGGAGCTCCACTCACCTCAACTTGCAGAACCTTGGACACCGCATCCCCCACAGGATACTCAAAGGTCCCTCGGGCCACCACCTTCAGGGACACAGAAGCTGCGGCGGTGGGCACCGCGAAGAAGGACACAGGCCGAGCAGAACCTGCCGGCACCAGCACCTGCTGGGCCAGCCCTCCGCCCCCCGCCAGGCACAGCCCCTCCACGGGGGCAACATGGACACTCATCTGGGGGAGACAGACAGGGGTGAGCACAGCCGGCCTCCAGGCTGCCCACCCCAGTGCCCCATGCGGCGCCTCACAGTCAGGTTCCTCTCCAAGTAGTTGTAGAGGATGGGCCGCAGCTCCAGCTGCTCAAAGCGGCGGACGGAGGCGGGCAGGCGGAGGTGCAGGTGGAACTCACGGAACACCGGGAGGCGGAGAGGCGCCGCTACACACAGCCCTGAGGGGCGGCAGTGTGGGAGCAGAGGACAGGTCGGGGTCAAGGCCGCCCACCCGGGAAGGAGGGGCGGACATCCCAAGCTTGGGTGGGGCAGAGATGTAAGCAGGCAGCCCGAGGCAGGGCCTGGCCTTACCCTGGCTCTGGGACAGGCTCACGCCATGGATCTCCCACGTGGTCATAGAATCGGGGAGCCACACCGGCAGCCTACGGCCGAAGGTGGAGAAGCCCTGTCACATCCTGGGCTGGCCTGGCACAGCCCGGAGAGCAGGCCGGGCCCCCGCCCTCACGTGTGTGAGCGGTCCACTGTCAGCACCCTCCAGAGCCAGTTCTCCGGGAAAAAGCTGCGCACAAGGATGTTGTCCTCCTCCATCAGCTCCTCCTCCTGCAGGATCTTCAGGGCTGGGGGGCACAGGCCAGAGTGAGCTGGGGCACACAGGGCCACCCTCCTGAGCGCCACCACCACCTGTCCCTCGCCCCGCCGGGCCACTCACCTCGTGCGAGGCCTGCCTGGCTCTCGCCCCGGTTCTTCTTGCGCAGGGTCTCGGCAAACTGGCAGCAGGACAGGAAGGGCTCCCGGCAGGCTGGCTCGGGCACACGCGCCGCCCGCTGCTCACAGGAGCGCACCATGGGCAGCCGTGTCAGCCCATCCTGGCAGCAGCGCCTGGCCGCTGGGGAAGCAAACTGGCCCACTGCGGGCCGGTGGAGGGAAGCGGGAGGGAGGGAAACAGCAGCAGCTCAGCCCCCGAGGGCCCAAGAACACGGGAGGCCTGGAGAGGCCCACCCCGATCTGGGCCCCCGCCACTCACACTTCTCACTGACTGCCTTCTGGAAGTCCACGTTTCTCTTTTTCCTGGTTTTCTTTTCCTTGGGACAGCTCAGAGCTAACAGAAAGCAAGACTTCAGGCAAGCCCACGGGTGAGTGAGCGCCTGTCTCCAGTCCCCCTCTGCTGTCCCGGAAGCCTCCCTCTCCCTTCTCCCCCCTGCTCCCTTTCCGCCCATTCTCACTCTCTCTGACTGAGGTCAGCAGGTCTCCGTCAGAAAAGGCCAGGCCCGCGGCCGTGAACACCTGAAGGGCACTGTCCCCACCTCCAGGGCCACAGCCCAGGTTGTAGCTGTTCATGACTTCAAAGACCTGGTGTGAGAAGCGAGGGATGGTGGGAGGCAGGAGCGGCTGGGGGCGGGGCCGGTCACTCAGCTACGGGCACGCGGGACCAACACGGAGAGTGGACGAGGTCCCAGGCCCCAGGGCTGACCGGGTAGGGCCTCGCAGCTCAGGCTCTGGGGGGCAGAGCAAGGAGCTGTGCCCGACAAACCTTGTGCATGTCCAGGGGTCTGTGGGTCTTGCTTCCCACAGCGTACAGCGCCGTGTCCACCGCGCCCAGGGCCACCAGGGCTACAGAATCCGTGCGCAGCTGGAGCTTCACATTGTCCCCGTTGCGATACTCCTTGGGGTCATCCAGGTGCAGCTCCAGCTGACGGAGGAGTGGGGGAGGGCTCCTTTCCATCCCAAGCACTCAGTGCATCCCCAGAGAAACCAGGCCCCGCTGGCAAATGCAGCACCCCCTCTTCTGACCCCAGCACCTTGCCCTCACAGGCCCCAGCCTCGATGTTCACGCGCAAGGAGTTGGCCACGGGGCGCCCCTGATGATAGTAGAAGGCCACGAAGTAGAAGGAGGGCGTCAGGCGGTGGTCCACCAACACTGAGACGGAGGTCAGCATGGTCCTGAGCTCTCGACCCACAGACACGATCTCGCCCCGGGACAGGATCTGGCCAGGAGGAGGGGCAGAGCGGGTTCCTCTGTGTGTACGATCCCAGCCCTGGCACTGTGCCCAGCCCATCCCTGGGGCTCTTCCCTGCACCCCTGCCCTCCTCTACCCCCAGCTTTGTGCACCATGTAGTAGTAATGAGAGAAGGTGGCCCCACTGAGGCCCACGGTCCGGAGGTTCAGGACGACAGTCTCCCCGACTCTCGGGGGCCGAGGATCTGGCCGCTCAATAGACAGAAAGCCAGAGCTTCCCGAGGCTGGCGCTCGCACGGTGAGCCTGGCTACGGCTGGATAATGGGAACCCACGGATACCTGGGAGGGGCAGGACTCAAGGTCAGTGACAAGGGCCATGGGTCCCACTGCTCCTCCCAGGCTGGGCCAGGGACCCTCAGGAACCAGCTCAGCCTCCGACCCTTCCCCACTGCCACACAGGACAGGGCAGGCTTACCAAGAGCTTAAGTTCTGCAGCGTTCCGTGGGACATCGATGGGAATGTTGACCTGGCCCATCCTATCTGTGTTTAATTTAACCTCTTTGACGTTAGAAACAGACTCAGAAGTTGTGGCAGAGACTTTGACAGGAATGTCAGAGGCTTGGGAGCCTGACACTTCTCTGACCAGCACCTAGGTGGGTAGAAGGGCCGGGGAAAGAGAGTGGTCAGCAAGACCTGGTCCCCCCGACCAACACCCACTCCCCCCGAGCCTGCCCTCCAGAGGCCACCTGCAGCAGGAAGGGAGCCCCGGGAATCAGGTGGCGCTTGGTGTTGCTAAGATCCAAGGAGTAGGCAGATGGTACAAAACACCAGGATGTGAGCTCCGCCTCTTCCATCTCCCCGCCTGCAAGACAAAGGGCAGAGCCTGGGAAGAGGGCAGCAGGAGGGCCAAGGGGTGCCTGAGCGTCTCCTACAAATTCAGGAGCGTGACTGCCCTCATCTCTACCCTTGCCAAGGCCCAACGCCACCTGCTCACAGGCACCCGCTGAGTGAGTAGCCTGGTGAATGAGGAGAAAGCCAGGCGGGAAGGGGCAGAGTGGCAGGGACAGGGCCGGAGAGAGACAAAGGCTGCTAGGCTGGAGACGAGGAGCTGGGAGGAACTGGGGCTAGGGCACAGGGCAAGCGCTGTGAATTGGATTTTTTTTTTCTTTTTGGCTGGTGGCCAGGGAATGCTGCACCGTGGAGCTGCCCCTTCAGCTCTGCATTTTTTATTCTGAGATAAGATCTTATACACTGCGCAGGCTGGCCTTGAATTTGGGATCCTCCTGCCTCAGCAGCTAAGAGTGGTTCATGTGTGCACTACACCCGGTTTTAATTTGCATTTTTAGGTGTTCTTAAAGGTCCATGTGTGGCTCTATGTGGAGGTGATGGGACTTTCACCAGGGGGCCCCAGGAGGATGCAGGTCCCTGGGCCAAGGCGGAAGGCAGCAGCAGATCCGGCCCCTCCCTTCCTCTCCTGGCTTCGCCATGTGCCTGTCACGCTGCAGCTGAGCCGCCCAGTAACCCACAAGCCTGGAAGCCCTGAGCTACGTGTGCCCTGCTCACCTCAGGCCCCACTCACAGGTCAGAGGCCAGGGCTGCCACCCACCTGGAGACTCGACGATGGCTGCCGCCACATAGAGGCACCATCCCTGCAGGTCAGGAACACTGACATTCAGCTTCTCCAGGGCACCCCGGAGCTCGGCGCTCGAGAGGGAAACAAGGCTGCGGCCGTCCACCAGCTGGAGGAGAAAG